ATTTGAGTCTGTACCTGCAAACAAGTGCCTGTGTAATCACGTTATTATGCACTCTTCTCGAGCAGCTTCTCGTATTCGGTTAATTAACTCCTGCGCAATTTACACCGGTGTTCAGTAATCCATTGGTTTAATGTGATCTGACATACGTGGTAGGAATGTAGCCGGTATTTATTTGGTGCCTGGAAAAGTGTCAGTGGTTGTGCAATATTCTGAGTCCCTGAGTGAGGAGGATTTTTAATATTTTTCTCGTACCTTCCAAATGAGCCCCTATTACCCCTTAAAAGGAATGACGCCAATTTTGAATCACCCTGTATACAGAGTGTTTGGTAAGAGGATGCACTTCTTGCAGAAGGTTTAAGTACGTCGAGTTTTATACACATGTTGAGTGGTGAGCATCCCTAATAATCGCAAATATGATCAAAGATATTTGCATTATAACGCGCGGCTAGAAAAGCATCGATTTACCAAACATCCTGCTTATGGATTCATTGCCATTTGGATTAAATCAGAAATGTTTTTTAACACGGAAAAAATGGCCATTTGAGGAATATAAAATAACGCTTTTTCTTTAAAACAACTCCCAAAAAAATTAACCAAATATTCAAAACTTTTTTCAGCAACTATTCTTTGGTTTTAGGGGAATTATTTGCCAACTTGTCGACGCGCAAGGACTTCGATGGTTCAATTTCCGGAATTTTATCGTATAATATACAGAACGATGCCACCACTGGTAATAAATGTGGTATAGTACTGACAGATAATAATTTATTCTATGTGTTCCTTGATTTTTAATTAATTAAATATTTTTTTAATCGAATGAATCAAAAACGGTCATTTTTCGATCAGAGGCGATGATCAAAAGGAAGCACTTTTCTTTAGTAATAAATATTTTGAACTATTTTCATTAAAAAGTAAACGACAGGCCTTTTTAATGAATTACGTAGGTTTACAGAGAACTATTGATCATAATTTAAAGTTTACTTACAATTTGTAAATTATAACTTTGATACAAGTTCAGTCTCAAAGTCGTTCGAATGGTCTATTTTTCTGCGCTCGCCGATTTTGCCACAAGCAAAACACGATTTTTTTAAAGATCGCAAATTTTATGCAAAATATGCATCTTATACAATCACCATACCGTGAAAGCAGCACTTGGATTTTCAACACTCATTGTTTCAGATGTATTAGCTTACAAAAGTACGCTTTTGAAAAATTACAAACGTCAAAACGTGACAATTTCAAAAATGGCATTGACATCAAATTTTAAATATGAAGTTGACGGCTTTTATTTTTGGCTAAATGCCGGTGCACACGAGCCTTTTTTAACGGTGCGGTGACGCGACGTCAAAAAACGCTCGTGTGCACCGGCACTTAAACTGGTTATAAAACTACTATTTTATAACTAACCACTGCGACTTCCGAACTTTTTTCAAACACAAAACTTCGACTTTACTTCAAAAAGTGTTTCTACTTCAAACGTTAAAGTGGATTTGAAAGTGTATTTTTTTCTTTTGAAATTCACGATCATACTTTAAATCGGCCACAAAAAATGCTCTTTTTTAAGTTAAGTTTTCATGAAACTTCAGCCTTGTAAACTGAGGTGAGAATTGAAAAATCCAACTGCTCAGAGTTTTAATTACAAAGGCTCACCTTTGAACCTTGACTTGAAGATGTTAATTTCTTCTTTTCAATCTTGAATAAAGATTTAGACTTTATACTGGCCAACTAAACGTTGACTTGAATTTTCGGGGAATTTTCGGAAGTTTCAAAATTAAATTGTCTGTTTTATGGGCACAATTAGTCATAATGTTTCAGTTTATGTCCGCAACGAAGACGACACAAAAGGAAGCTTCCTCAGACTAAATGATCAGAAAGTGAATTGCGAAATGTCCAAATGGACAGAATGGACACAATGTCTGCCCTCCAATGGAGAATGTGGCCCCGGCTATAAAATAAAATACAGACACGTTCAGGTACTTTTTTACCTTTGTGTAATAAGAAAATGTAAATGCGTTTTTATAGATTGCTCCCAGAAACGGAGGATCCGCCTGTTCGAAGCGAATGACGAAGAAGAAAAAATGTATTCTCGAATGCAAGAAATAGCTTTAGTCGTCGAAGTTGCGTAGCATCATAGAATAAGGGCATGGATGTTCTGTTAGCACTTAATCAGGTGTAAACCTATACAACATGTTGGCAAAATAATAATCAGAACGCCGATCAGCACAGATTTTTACTTGCGATAATCTGTGACCCCATGAGTTCTAGAAGACGATAATAATTAGCTCGCAATAATTATTTACTACAAACGCGTATTTATATAACAACAGTGGCTGAGGGAACGATAAAGAAGTCGCTTTGCACCATATTAATACTGATTCGCTTGTTTAAATCGGGTGCATGTGTTTTTGTTGTGAGACGGTTTAGTTGTGTGATTGATTTTCAATACTTTAATAGTGGGTAGGTATCCGAGTAGCCAAAATGTTTTTTTATCCATTTTGCCATGTCCATTTTTCATTCCCTATTTAAAGTCGGATTAAATTCTTTGATCATTTATCAACCGGATCAAATTATCAAACAGGTATTTTTAACAACCCTTTGCGGTGATGAATGTAGATGTACAAAGGGTGCATTCAACAATTTCCGCAATAATGTGTGGTTAATCGAGTGGCATTCGAGAAGACTTTCGCTTGAAATCAATCAAATAATTCATATGCAAAAAATCTCGACTATAACAGCAGACAATGTTTGGGCATTCATTTGTGTAAAAGCAGAGCTTTTTGCCAAAAACTGTACAACCTCCAGAACAGCGCTAAAAGAATCAAAGAACCACAACTAACGTTAATTCTTAGATAGTTTTCAATCTCAAACATAAACTGTATTTTTGAACTCAATTACTTAGCTAATTTCCGCTAATCCACTTCTCCTGCAACACCCGGCATTTTAAAAAGTATTCCAAATCCATAAAAAGTATGAATAAACTGCAAAATATTATTGACAAAATCGATTTGTTATCGTCGGCCCGACCTTGCACACCAAACTAATACAGGTCAATTTTAATGAATTGACCAACATTTTTCTGGGTTTCTGGAACAAAAACCATACGAATGCAGTCGCAGTGTTATTTTTCCAATAATCCAGTCTGCTTTTGCACAGCATGCAGTTTTGATTTCAGACGCAGATGGCTGGCCAGAAGTTTGCAGAATATTTCCTTTACATTTCCTTAGCAGTATTACAAGCAGCGGCGCTGCCTTGTGTCGGCCCTTTGGTTGGCCGAACCGAACCACCCTTAACTGGCAATAGAAAGTATTTGTTGGAAATTGATGGATCTCCAGAAAAGTATTTCCCGAACGAAAAGTATCAGGGTGAGCGCTGCGCAAGCAAGGCAAGTGAACGCCCGTAAATGATCGGTTTTCCTTACAATTGCAGTGACGCTTAAAGTGAATAAATACATAGAGCCGATGCCGAAATTCACGCACTTTCAAATCTATCTAGAATCGATGCCGCAGAAAAACAATCTACCAGAAATTAGCTCCTTAACGGGAAGATTAACAATAGGAAGCGACCTTCTATCCGCTTACAGTCCTTCTTGCGACAACACCGTTTTGCAAGCTGACACGCAGCCCAAACGGGAGGTAGGCACAGATTTTTCAAAAAGTGTTTAAAATGAGTAATTTTTTCCATATTCCATGCAAAAGATTAGCTTGACTTGGACTGCTCCTCCGCCCAATAGCGGATGCGTCAAAATCAAAGCCATAATCACAGAGTCGAAGGAAAAATGGTTTGCAGATGACCAGTCCGTTGATAATGGATATTTGACGAAAACTTTGTGCGAAAACTTCGACGAAAATGAAGATCTTTTGCCGGAAGTGTTGGACTTTTGCTGTGCATGCGACGAGGCCAAGTACGAGATGGCGTTTCAAGGGAATTGGATTCGGAACAATCATCCGAAAGGTGATTTTTGCATTGTTTTTGATTCGCAAAGAAAAATAGCAGACATAAAAACGGCTCGCATACCCGTGAAAACATTAGATCTATTTAATTCCCTCTATCAAAACATATTTCTGGTGAGGAAGCAGAAAGTACAGTAAAGTCCGCTTATAATGAACCCGGTTATAGTGAACTTTCGGTGAAAACGAACTTTTTTCTTTTAATTGAAACATCGTCCATAAAGACCAACGTATTTTTTTACTGGTTATAACGAACTACCGGATATAACGACCACTTTTTAGGTTAATTGTATATTCACTTTCCGTTTATAACGAACTTCCACGCTCAGCAACACCAATCGTGCGGAGTTCTTTATATTAGTGAGAGCGAGAGACAGGCAGTGACTT